AATGGCGGCTTTGGTTAGTTGAGTGAGGTTTGTTGGTAGGATGAAGATGATGGGTGGCGGCTAAGCATTCTAGGGTTTAGGGTTTCAGTCCCCAAGGAGAGAGACAATGAATAGTATCTTTATACTAGAAAACCTGACACGTGGCCCTTGCAAATGATTTGTTAATCTGACTTAATTGAATGCTAATTGCTGATAATTATGATTAATAAAGTTGACTCAATTAAAAATAATTCTAAAACCTATAACTAAATAAATCCTAATCTAAACATTTAATTAATTTAAACTAAACAAAAATCTGACTATTAATAATAAAACAAATTAATCCTAGTTTAATAATACTAATAATTACCAATTAAATCTAAAACTAAATTCTAATTAATTTTAAAACTAAAAATCTAGCTAAATAATAATTTTAATTAAAAGCAAATCATTCTAAAGAAAAATCTAAACTATTTTAATATAATATTAAACTAAATTAATTCTAAACAAAAAAAAACTAGTTCTAAACTATTAATATTAAAAATCTATTTAATAAAAAAATATATGCTAAGAATTAATAAAATAAAATCTAGAAAACTATAAAAAAAAAAAAAACTATAAAGCAGTAAATAAAAACGGAAAGATCGGGCGAACAACGAAATGTCACTGAAAATACCAGCACGGACTGAACCAACAGAATGATAGCAAACTCCACTCGATTCCGAAATAAATCTCCTTATCTGAACTGGTTTAAATCGCCTGAAATGCGAGTAAAGGGGCTGTAATCCCGATAATCCACTCCGGCCGACAAAATGCACAGTATGCGATAAATGAAATGTAGATGCAAATGAAACGAAACATAAGCCAAATTACAGAAAAAGGTTGGTCAAATTTTGGGGTACAACATTTACCACATCAAATAATACCATTATAACATACCAAATCAAATAATTCCACCAATTATTCATTCAATTTCATCAATTAATGTTTATGTTCCAAACCTTCAACAATATCAACAATGGCATTAACATCATGTATATAAAAACACAATATTTCACACACAATTCAGCCACAAAAAATAATCACACATTAATTTATCAATTTTCAGAATCACATAAATCAATAACAACTCATGAAAAATTCACACAATCCCTAAAGAGAATAAGGGTCTCTTTTATCTACCCTTTCATACAATACACCCATTTCAAAGCCCTTTCTCCCCCTTACCTTAGATTGCTGGAAAAAATTCAAAATTTATCAAGGTTGTTCTTCCCTCTTCAAGCCCTAGCCTTATCTTGCCTCTTTTCTCTAAAATTATGTTTTCACGTACCGACACTTTTAGGTCTCTAATCCTCATATATCTCATAAACCTAATTATTTCAATTCCTTAGTAATTATATTTTCCTACCCTCATATTATATTTTCTCTCTCCTTATTCCCTCTATTTTTCCTTTATACTAAATTATCCTCAACTCCATTAATTCTCCCTATTTCGTATTTATTTTAGTTAACTATTAAAAACAATTACAATTTTAACTATTTCTAATTATTTAATTATTCTAATCCTTCTTCCACCATACCAAAACTCTCACTACACCCCACATACACATATAACTCACTATACATATTTAATTAATAGCACACCAAATATCAATTAATTAAATAAACTACGAATAGTTTGATTAAATAAATTAATCAAATATCGAGGTGTTACAATTATGGTTGAGGCTGAATCCATGTACTTCTCTAGTTTCAAAGATAAGAATACTATAATGACATCTTAACCATACTTAAGGGTCATTGAGCAGATTTGAGAGATTGATTATATTCTATTAAAAGTGTCTTTATTTAAATGCAAGTGGATTGGCAGTAACACTGGTGTATAAACTAATGAGTTGAGACTCACACGAGTTGACTTTGGCAAGACAACTTATATAATGGAACCATCCATTATGGCCTCCTAAGCAAAACAAGTATTTTATGTCGCTAACCCTTATGAAAAAAGATGATCAATTATTCTCCAAGCAAAACACATTCCTCCTAGTGATCTAAATCATGATTTAAACTTTGATATTCTTGAGACCCATTTTTTTGCAATACATGTCCCTGTTTTATATGTAGAAGTTGATACAGATGATAAACATCGTTATGATCATGCAGAAGACGTACTCGAAAACTAACAAGTAAATATTTTTGTTGTTATTCATAATTTATTATTTTTTTTATAATTTATAAGTGTTATACACTAACATATATTATCATTTGAAAATATATGTTTTTAGAGATAAAACACCAAAATACGTTCGAACATGTTTTGCATCTTGCTTCTTTAAAAATAGTGAATATAGTGCACAATAATTTTGTATGTTTGTTGTTTTCTTGTTTGATGTAATGTTTGAAATGTGTGTCGTTTTGGTGTCATTTTGGTTTTGATGTAATACATATTTTTGGTTCGTAATAGTTTTTAATTGGTTTTGATTCACAAATGCATTATTGTGTTTTTTCTAATATGTTCTGATTCACAAAAATGACGTTGTAGGGTATTGAACCAATGACCTCTTCATTTTTCACTATGGTTGGATATTTCAATCATGGTGAAAAGTGGCACGCTATCCATTTTATAACCATGACCTATAGTCTGTCGTGGTAAGTGGCTCCCTTACTATCACACCTTTCGTTACCACGGACCGTAACCCATGGTTAAATCTCTATTCCAACCATTGTAAAAAGTACTTTTTGTAGCATTGATAGACATAGTCAAGAGAGAATGTTTAATGATAAAGGTAGACTTTAAAAAACCTACAAATATGTTTGCTGGAACTATTTAAGATACATCTTGAAAAGGTTATGTTTTGGTGAAAAATGGTTGTCGTGGATGGAGGCTTACATATTCACTAGCAGTATGTCTATCTTGAGGATTTTAGAGTAGGTCGTAGATTGAGGTAGGGGGTTCACTATCCCCTTTCTTATTTTCAATAGGAGTTAAGTGTCTAGAGAGACTTGTAAGTAAAACGGTTAGCATGGGAGAATCTCAGAGTTTTCATGTGAATAAGCATGTTGACTATCAAATTATTCAGTTTGCAGAAGACTCCATCATTACAGGGGAATGATATTGGCAAAATATTTGGTATAAATGTTAAAGAAAGTTTTATGGTGGCAGCTTCAAACTTTCTGTCATACGGTTTGGACTTAATTCCCTTCAAGTTCCTTGGCATTACCAGTTCATTCGAATCCTAGGAGAAGCTCTACATGGAGGCCAATTATAGACAATCTAAGAAGAAAACTATCATCATGAACGAGAAGATGTTTGTCAATAGGTGTAAGACTAGTGTTACGGAAAATGTGGGATGGGGTAGGTAAAGCGGAAAAAACACAAGGAGAATGTGATATGTCTTACAACATGCTGGTGCATTTGGACTAAGAGGAATAATATTCTATTTAAAAGGGAGATTGGTGAAATAGAAGGAGTTCTGACAAACTTTAAAATAACAGCATGTGTATGGCATGCAATATTCCTTAAATCAAGTGGTTGTAGTAATTTATCTGAACGGTCTAAAATTATGTTGAACTCAATTGTATTGAATTAGAGTATCCCTTATACTCTACTAATAAATTTTGCTTATAAAAATAATAATAATAATAATAAACTCACAAAGCAGGTGAGTGATTGGGATAATCATGTCTATAAATATGTAACATTGATGTTATAAGTCATTGATAATATCTATAATGGTTGAAATTGATACGTAAACAAACACAAGTTAAATAACCAAATAATTCTACAACTACGACAACTAACAAAAATAACATCACATTCAAATCGCGATAACAATGAAATAATGAGCTATGCTAAACTTACACCATTTTTGTGACACCGTATCTTACACCGTAGACAAGCAAGGAAGAAAATTGAATTTACACAGAAATCAAGACAAGATAAATTATTAAAAAAAATAGAATTTATACATTTTGTGTATAACTGTACGGTGTTGATGTAAAAAAAGGTGTAAGGTTATCATTTTCCATGAAATAATAGATGTTAAACATATTTTTATAGTTATTATATTTTTAATGTTTGTTGTATTCGTGTATTTTATAGTTATTATATTTTTAATATTTGCTCAAAATATTAAGATATTAATAACATAAAATCCACGTTCTAAAGAAAAAAAGTTACTTTTTAAAATTTCAACTATGTTGAATCAAACTAAACAAGCCTATTTTTTTTATTGATTTGATTTTACAAGAAAAATTACAAAAACCAAATCAAATTAATCTGAATATTTTTATTGATTTATATTTTATTTTTATTTATAAATTAATTCAAACCAACCTGATAAATTTCTAAAGTTATAGCCAATATATATATATATATATATATATATATATATATATATATATATATATATATATATATATATATATATATATATATATATATATATATATATATATATATATATATATATATATATATATATATATATATATATATATATATATATATATATATATATATATATATATATATATATATATATATATATATATATATATATATATATATATATATATATATATATATATATATATATATATATATATATATATATATACCCCAATAATTTAAGAACCATGATTTTTTTCATTCAAGGATCTTATTCATAGTTTGATCCACCTACCTAAAATTGTCTTTCTTCCTTTACATGCTAAATTGAGATTAGATTATAATACTAAAAAAATCAATTAAACTAAGTTAATCATAAATCACATCTTATAGAAATCTGAATGAAGTATACTGAAATTAGTTCTTCATAGAAGTATAACAATATGGTTCAAATATAATAAAATGGCTATTACAACTTTTTCCTCATTATATATCTGATTTAACCTAATCATCAGTAATATTGAATCATACATGCTCAAAGCACGCAATGTTATATAATATCGAGTTGCTACACCAACAAATATCAAGATCTCATAAAAAATAGCAAGATCAACTATAAAAATATCTATCTCAATTAGATGGCAAAGAAGCTGACAAATGCGACGGTGGAAGCAGCAACAACAGAGAATTGAATAGCCGAGGCACCGCCAGTAGCCGCGTCAGCTGCTGGCGATACCTCGGGAGCAAGGCCATCATCATTAACAGGGGCGGCTCCTGGAGCGTATAGCTCAATGGGACCACTGGCTTGTGCTGGTGGAGATGAAATACCTTCCTCGTTATCAGATGTTGAAGGTGCAAGTGATGGAGCTAAAGGGGATGCTATCGGAGAAGATGATGGTGATGGTGATGCTTTTGGTGATGCTTTTGGTGCTGATGATATTGATGGTGCTGCTTTTGGTGCTGATTCTAATAACGGTGATGATTTAGGTGATGTAGATGGAGCTACTTCAGCCATAACCATGCTGATCATGACTACAAAAATGAGGGCTACAACAAATAATTTACGAGCCATTTTTTTTTAAGTTTTTATTTTTTTTAATTCTTAAAATAATTACAGATTTTCTCTATCGGAGAAAAACTGCAGTTATTATAAGAATGAACAATGAGTTGTTATGAAAATGAAGAATGAAAGATGCAAATATTTATAATGATGTGTTTGAGAGAAATTAGGAAAATGAGAGGAGGATGTTGTATTTAGAAATTAATGGTTAAATAATTGGTCAAAGTTTAGTATATGGAAGGTGTTAATTGATTGTGTATAATTAATTGAAAAAAAAATTGGATAAAAGTAAATTAATGGAGAAGATGAGATACAAATTTAGAATTTGTTTTTGTGGCTTTGGTTTGAATTGGATGTGAGCCAACCGGGATGAAGTGGTGTTGGCATTTGATGTAGATAGCTTAGGATGTTAATATTGGAAAAATTAGTTACTCTATTTTTGAAATAAAATAACTAGGTTAAATAAAATAAGATATAATTAGTTATTTTGTCAAATAACTAAAATAAAATTTAAATAATTAAGAATGTTTAAATTGAATAAGATAGAGTTATCAAAAATAAATAATACAACATATTTAATTGAATAAGAATAAGCAAATTTGAGTTGAACAATGATAAAAAATTCACCACGGATTTTGTCATATACAATCTTTCGAGTTTTAGCCAAACACCAGTTGTCGTCGTCTCCTTTGAAACCTGTCTGAGAAGCTTATCACCAAGACTCAAAACAATTGCATTGTGGACTTTCTCGATCATCGTTGTCTTTTCCTTCTCCGTCAATGCAACATCAATGGCATTTTCTCCCTTTAACGCTTCTAGCAAACCCTGTTGAACAAGAAGGGCTCGCATCTTCAAACGCCATAAACCGAAGTCATTAACTCTAGTAAACTTTTCAATTTCAAACTTTGTTGACGGTATCTTCTCCACGCTCACCGCACCAATTCGTTGTGATCACAAACGATACCTTTCAACAAATAAAGATTGAGAAAACGGAGTTCTTGGGCGAACAATGAAAACGATTAGAACAAAGAGAGAAAGAAGAAAGGATAAAGAAGAAAGAAGAAAGAAGAAGTAGGATTAGGGTAAATTCCTATACTATTCACTTTCTTAATATTACAAAAGATTACAAGTGAATAACACAATTGGCCTCACGCAACCACCTGAAAGATCTAGCCTATTTATAGACTAACTAGATAACTTGCAATCCAAGCTAACTAAACAATTGGATCCTTAACATAAGGCCCAATTTGACATAATAAGTCATCAATATATTTCGATATTACATACTAGAAATAGCTTCGACTACAATATGTAATCCTTTGAAACCAGCATGTGACCCAACTTCGACTTCATGCTTATCTCCTGTCGAACCCCATGAAAGATATTCCTCGATAGAGGTAGAGTTCGACCCAAAATCTCACAGATCTCCACCTTGGATCTAACTCTACAACAACAGGGAATAAACTAGCTTTCATCATACAACTTTATCAACTGCATACAGTGAAAAAACTTACAACTTGGAAACATCTTGGTGATCATATCAGCAACATTGTCATCAGTCAAAACCTTAGCACCTAGACTTCACCACACTCGATTATCTCTCTGACAAAGTGCAATCTTACTTCGATGTACTTGGTTCGCTCATGATAGGCTGAGTTCTTTGACAGGTGTATTGCACTTTGACTATCACATTTAACAGTGATACTTCGACCTTGAAGTTTCAGCTCCTTTACAAAACCTTCAAGCCACGGTGCTTCTTTCACAGCTTCAGTGAGAGCAATATATTCTGCTTCAGTGGCCGATAAGGCAACAACCTTCTAAAGCATTTCTTGCTAACTGATTGTTGATCCAAATATAGTGAAGACATATCCAGAAATAGACTTTTTGGAATCCATATAACCTGCATAATTAGAGTCGAAAAACCCTTCGATTTCGACTTTGCCATCACCACAGGCTCCACCATAAATCACTACTTTTTTCAGAGATTCATTTAAGTACCTGAGAATCCACTTTACATCTTGCCATTACGGCTTTCCAGGATTGGCCATATACCTCCTTATAAGGCTCACTCCATACGCTATGTCTGGCCTCGTATAGACCATAACATACATCAAAGAACCTACTACACTAGAATATGGAATGTTACTTATATAGATTCTTTCAGCTTCAATGCTCAGACTTTGAGTAGTACTAAGCTTAAAGTGAGGATTTGTTGGAGTCACAATAAGCTTTGAATTCGATATACCAAACTTTTCGAGAAACTTCCGTAGGTATGTCTCTTGAGATAAGCACAACTTTGACTGCTTTCTATCTCTTCAGATATCAATCCCAAGAATCCTGGTGGCAGCTTTCAGATCCTTCATTTCGAACTCCTTACTGAGTTCAACCTTCACCTCCATTACATCCTCGACACTGTTGCTACCTATGAAGATATCATCTATATAAAGAAACAAAATAACAAGTGAGTTTCCAAATCGAAATTTGAAGTAAACATAGTGGTTGAACTGGCTCCTGGTGAAACCAATATGTGCCATGAACTTGTTGAATCTCCTGTTGCACTGCGAGGAGATTGTTTCAAGCCATACAAAGACCTATTCAGCTTTCACACATAATCTTCCTTATTCTTTTCTGCATACCCTTCAGGTTGACGCATCAGGATCGTTTCGTCTAGGTCACCATACAAAAATGATGTCTTCACATCCATTTGCTCAAGTTCCAAGTCGAACTTTGCCACCATGGCCAACAATATTCTAATGGATATATGCTTTACAATAGGTGAGAACATATCATTGAAGTCAACACCCTCTTTCTGAGTGAACCCCCTAGCAACCAACCATGCCTTAAAGTGCTTCGACATAACTCCTTTGATTCCTTCCTTGACCTTGAAAATCAACTTACAACTGACTAACCTTGCTCAATCAGTTCCCAAGTGTTATTATCATGAAGAGATTTCATCTCGTCATCCATGGCTTTTCGCCATTCAGTCTTATTTCGACTCTTCATAGGTTCCTTGTAATCTCTAGGTTCTTCCTCAAGTACCTCACTTGAAGAGATTAAGGCAAAAACTATAAGATATGCATAACCAAGTCTATGAGGTGGCTTGATGACTTTTCTCGACATATCTATTGCCAGTAGGTAGTCATCGACAATTTCCTCAGCCTCTTCAGCATCTTGCTCTTCTTCTTTGACTTCATCTGGGTTATGCACTTCAGCATCACTATGCTCCACCTCAATAGGAATCTCTACCTGTTCCAGCTCCTCTTCAGAGATATCTGCACTTCGACTAGCATCACCAATTTTCTTGAACGCCATCTCAACTTCATTGAAAACTACATCACAACTTATGATACATCTTATGTGACCTAGTTCTAGGCACCACAGCCTATAACCTTTGACTCCCTCAGGATATCCAAGGAACATGCATCTTAGAGCTTTAGGTTCGACCTTGTCTTGCCTAATGTGAGCATAGGATAAACAACCAAATACTTTCAATTTTTCGAGATAGGTAGTTGACCCGACCAAACTTCTCCAGGTGTCTTCATTCCCAAGGCAGCCGAGGGACATCTATTTATCAGATAAGCTGTTGTCGAAACAGCCTCCGCCCAAAACACCTTCTTTAATCCATCACTAACCAACATGCATCTAACCCTTTCAAGGATTGTTCGATTTAATCTCTCAGTTAATCCATTTTGTTGAGGAGTACTTGCTACAATCTTATGCCTTGTAATTCAAAACTTAACACAACAACTATCGAAAGCTTCGTTGCAGAACTCAAGGACATTATCGGTTCTCAACCTCTTAACCTTTCTTCCAGTTTGAGTTTTGACTAGAACCATCCAACTTTTGAAATTCTCAAAAGTTTCATCCTTAGTCTTCTGAATGAATACCCATAATTTTCTGGAATAGTCATCAACTATTGATAGAAAATACCTTGCACTTGCATGTGAAGGATTCCTTGCAGGCCCCTAAAGATCAGCATGGATGTAATCAAGGGATCCATGTGTTCTTTGTTTACCTTTGCTAAACTTTTCCCTACAGGATTTTCCAAATACACAAGGTTCACAAAACTCCAACTTCTCGACTTTGTCACCACCTAGTAGATTTTGTTTCCCCAATTCGACCAGGCCTCTTTTGCTGACATGGCCCAATCTCATGTGCCATAATTATGTCTTCGACACCGGTTTCGTGGATGCAAAATCTGTTGAACCACTTACAACCTCATCCTCAAGGGTATACAAGCATTCTTTCTTCACGCCTCTCAAGACTTCCTTCGACATCTTCATGACTTTCAGGATACACTGCTCTCTTTTGAAGACATATCCTTTCTTGTCGAATTCACCAAGAGAAATTAAATTCCTCTTAAGGTCAGATACATACCTAACCCCAGTTAATAGCCTTATTGACTAATCATGGAGCTTGAATCTTACAGATCCAATACCTGCAATCTTGCAAGCATTATTGTTTCCCAGCAACATTGATCTTCCATCTTGACCATATAATTCTTCAAACACATTCTTGTTTGGAGTCATATGCCAAGTATATCTAGAATCTATAATCCACTCTTTGCAAGAGTTGTTGCTCAACACCACAAGGACATCAGATGATTCATAATCATCTTGCACAATAGGTGCATTGCTATTGTCCTTACCTCCATGATTATTCAAGCGCTTATGACACATCTTTCTTGTGCGACCCTCCTTCTTATAGTGATAACACTTAATCCCAGAAATATCTCCACCATAAGACTTCTGCTGAGTTTTACCTTTCTTCTTCTCAAACCTACCATATTTCTCTGATGGTTTCCCCTTCACGGACAATCCTTCGCCAATTGATGATGCTGGTTTCTGATCCTTTCTTTCGTTCAAATCATTTGAATATAAGGCTGCTTGAACTTCTTCAAAGGTCAGGGACTCTCTTCCATACAAGAGTGTTTCTTTGAAGTTAGCATGAAACTTAGGTAAGGAACACAACAATAATAATGCTTAATCATCATCATTGATGGTAACATCAAT